GTTCGATTGTTTCCGTTGGTTCTTGTTTCATAACACTAAGTTTGCTTGCTAGTCGACGACATTTGTCCTGTTTTGGTTCCTCAAATTCCTCTCGTAACCGGCTTGTACAGAGACCATATTGCTCAGCGGCTGATTTTTCAGAAAATCCCTCGCTAAAACGACAAATAGACAGAACTGAACGCGTCCATTTGCCTACGCATTGCTGTTCGAGAAGTGTTAATCGTAAGTTATGCGATAAATGATTTGTTTGCTCGCCAAATCTTTCGATAGAATCGTTGACATCATCCTGAACTAACTTGTCTCGCCTGAACTCTGGTAGTTGTAACGTCGGTAACTTGAGATTCGATGTAGCTTGAGTGTCATTTCCTGAAATTCCTGCATTTGTGAGTTGACCCACTTGCGTTGATATTTCTGCGACATTTGTTGTCAGCCCTTTTACAACACTTGAAAGACCGGCTATTAGCCCTGTTAGTTCTTCGATCGTTGCCATTTTTGTCTCAAAAGTTAGCTTGCATCCTCCGCCATCTCAACGGGCTTGATTACCGTATAATATAAATTTTATTTCATAAAATACTTTGACGAAAACATCACATAAAAGTACAAAACTACAATCTGTCGATGTTCTCTTCCTCCCCAATGTGCTTTGCGCGCTCACGACATTCCTATTACTACATTGGGGGGGGGGGGGCGCTGCTTGCTTTGGCTGGGGCCTGGTGGCAACGCCTAGAACTTTAGGCTAAGGAAAACGTTTAACAAAATTTATTTTCTAGGCCTGCATGGCAAGATGTGAGACCATAATATTGGTAATTTTACAAATTTAGTTGCAAGAATAATCAAATATGAAACTATCAAATCAAAATATATATAATTTGCAGGGGTGCTAAAACTTTTAGGGGCGTTGCCAAATGCCTCTGGGGGGGGAACCCCCCCCCCCACCCCGAAAATCTGTGCCTGAACTGAACATACAATTAAAGCTTGATTAATTTTGAACAACTGTATTTTAATTAATACATGCTTCCAGAAAGTATATCATCTTGGTTATAGGCTGTAGAGTCTCATTTTCATGATTGAGACATGTCAAATACACAAAAACGAGGCTCCATAGTCAAAGTGGCATACTTTCTGGAAGGATGTACAGTATTTGACTTTTTTGTAGCCTCTATTAACTAGCAGTAAACAATTAAAAAACAAACAAAAATGTATAATTTTAATTCTTCCTAATTCAGTGGAGCACGATTGTGCTCTGTTATAAAAAATTACAGTTCAATAAAGTTATTATAAGCATATAATTATTTATTATGTTGTTAGGGTATTATAATTATAATTATAGCTTCATTTTGATGTTCTGCATGTTGTCTTCCATGTTGATGCCTGTGACATCCCTTGTGTTGCATTAAACAGATAATTTCTGCAAAATAAA